CCCCCAAAACCCCAAAACCCCAAAACCCCATTATTATGAAATTACTAAGATTTTGTAAAATCAAATAATAATATAAAATCTCAATGGATTAATCAAGTAAAACAAAGCGAGATAGATTCTCGACGAAAAAGCAGCACAGAAGTGACAGAGTTCTATCTGAGGATCTCGAAACTGATGCCGATCTAAGGCTCTCTTCTCTCTATGAACTAAAGTCGCATAGTATGTGGCCTAGGTAACTCATATCCTCAATTCCCTTAACATTTACTGTAGACTAATCCTTCTTTTACTTTGCTTGCTTTATATTTTAGCAGTCACTTCGGTTTACCTTTAATTTCATATTCCAGTCATATTCGTTGCTCTTCTCTTGATTTCCAATCTTTTGGTCCTTGTATGTTTTGGCAATTACATGCTAAGAGCCATCTTATTTCCCTATGCAAATTATTTCATCAAGAGAGAATTTGATTCTTCCATTAACAAAAGGTTTTCAAGGGAGTTCGGGAGATTATTAAGACAAATGAATCAGACTCTCAGAATATTCGCAGAATTAGAACCAATGGAGAACTTTTACTCGTAAACTCTGATAGCTAGTGGCAATGTCAAACAGAAGTCACAGATAAGCAAGCAAAAGGGAGTAGAAGTCAGTTCGTTTGCTAATGTCAAGAGTGAGAGTAAAGGCGAGAATGAAAAGAAGGACAGGCGTAAAATGATTATTGACATCAACACAAGTAAGCAATAAATTCATGTATCAGAATTCTTATGTAGAAATGTTTACTGTGGTTGAGTTGATAAACTTATATGGTGAAGTTAACTAGCAACTTATAGAATAGGGTTAGATGAGATTGGGCAGAAAATTCATTGAAGCCACTGAGAACTTAATTGAAATAAAAAAGCATTTGTTATAGCTTCAAATTACTTTCAATGGCAAATAGATTGATCTAGACAGATTTAGGAATGTTTGGAATTACTACTCTAAAGAGCTACTAGATGATGATCAATAGGAGAAGGCGCTGCAACAAAAGCTACCAACTATTAGCGATAATGAGACCAATATGATGATATTAGAAAGCATAGCAGACATAGTATCAGTATTCTCAATGAATATGAGTGCGACAGAGAGGAAAAGATGTTCATGCATGTGTCGAGTACAATCTTTATTTGGGTTTATGGAGTAAAATATGATGCTACTCTCTAAGAACTTTGATGGAAAGCATTTTATGATCAATGGATATAAAGGAGCGAAGATAGACTGTATGTTCTTTCCTTGCACAAGCGAAACTCATCAGAGTATAAGCATTGATAACCCTGGAGGAGAATACATCAATAAGCCTACCTTTATTATCTGCAATCCTAATGCTCTAATTTATCAATAAATGGTGAACTCGCCAAATTCTTACTGGCTTACTTTCTTTCTTAAGAGAGGAATTAATGTGATGTGCTGGAACTATCGAAAATATGGACTTTCAAAGAGCACCATATGTACAGGGATTAATCCATACAACTCAAAGCTAGATGCTGAAAAGGTTATGGATTTCTTGCTTAATAAAATGAAAGTTAGAGGTTAGATAGGAGTTTATGGAAGGTCAATAGGTGGTATAGCATCAACTCACCTAGCAAACAAATTTCCAGAATAAGTTAAGTCTTTGATAGTTGATAGGACTTTTAACGAATTGGATGTGCTAAGTTAGAGAAGAGTTAGCGGTGGCTGTACAAGTGCCGTATTCAAGATGATTAGTTATAGCTGGCAGGCCCTAAATGATTATAATTTTGCGAATGCCCCTTGCTACAAAATTTTGACCTGTGATCCATAAGATGATGTAGTTGATAATTACTGTTCATTAGCTACAGGTGTGGCACAAAAGCTTTGCTAGAATAATTATAAGGATAACAAGTGGAAACTGTTCTTTTAATGTCTATGCGCTATCTATGATATGGAAGACCATTTATACAATAAATTGAATGACCAGGAGAAGTCATCACTTAGATTTAGAATTGTTTCACAAATGGATGAAACAGTATCTAGTGTCAGATAGAGTACAAGAAATATGTCCATAAATGATATCGAAGAAGAAAATCATACTAATGATGACAATCTTTAAGAATCTCTGCTAAAACATAATGATGATGATTTAGAGCGCTAGAATTTTGATAGGACTGGAGATAAAGTAGAAAGCATAATGAGTCCTAATGAAAATCTCTAAGAAAAGATTAGTATAACTTACATCTAGAAAAGACTTTATACCACTAAATCATTCCATGATATACACTACAACATGCATTTGATTGTTTTAATGCTAAGTGACTTTACAGCAGGAACAGTTTCTCTAAGGGATTGTCTGAATAATACAAAAGAGAGAAGTATCGAGGAGTTCCAGATATTCCTTCAAGTTCTTGAAGTTTATGGAGTAGGCTATGAAGATGATATCATTTAAGAGAAGATTATTGATCGATCACAAATTACTCATAGCTAGCAAGCAGTATTTTAGCTTCAAGAAATACTTTAATGCTATCAAAGGTGCTCAAGCGCATTAATAAAGAAAGACAGTAAAAGCTATGGAGGCAATAAGATCCTCAAGCAGCATTTAATCAACTTTCTGCAGTTTCAGATTGATTGCATCAATGACCTCGTTGCTATTCAAAATAAAATCCAGTACTATCAAAAGTATCAGACAGACTATGATATTTTAAAATAGGGTCATTTGGTTTATATGAAATGCGGTCATAGAGGAAAGCCGTCAAGACTGGAGGAAAAGAGAATATCGAGATTACTTAGGAAATCAGGATTCATACCGATGCTAGAGGAAGTTTATAAGGAAGACAAGCAAAAGGTAACTGTGAGAATTTAGAAAAGTCCATCTTAACTTACACAGTTATAATATATAAACCATTCACAAGATTCTCAAGAGAGAAAGATAAACTCATTGAAAGAAAAACGATCTAATCTTGAAGACTTGAACTTAAAGATAGATGACTTGAACAGAAATAATACACAAAATGACATTACTGGTATAAACGAAGATGAAAATGCAATGTCTTTTGACAAGAGCCAGAAAGATATCTCTATTGGTGGTGTAGGTGCTAATGGATATAAAGTTGGAATGAATATGAATTTGATTGGCATTAGTCCTGGCAATGGTTTGGCTAATCATCATATGAATTTTATTAATAGGATTCAGAGAGAAGGCTCAGGGGAGCATGGATTCTCTGAAAAATCTAGAGATGGTTAGACTTCAAGCTATTAACTCTCTGATGAGGATAGAGGTTCTGGCAATATTAACAATCAAACTAAGGATTAGAACTATAGAGATATGCTAGCTATCAGCAGTAGTGATGAAGGAACTAACGGCATCATTAACAACTTGGCAAAATTCGATTGACAGTAATCATTGAACATAACATCATGAATTAAACATTTGGATGAGATTATGGAGCACACAATGCTATAATCAAGAAAAGATGAGCAAACAACACATGTTTGCCTGACTCTCTTGCAGTGTGAATCATATAGTTATTAAATAAATTATGATAAGAAATATATTTATTCACAACAATGCCTCCATACTCTAGCTCTTTAAATATTTACTGCATTCTACTACAATGTTCAGCCTCTTTTATAAAGCTAATTTTCCTTCTTAGCTTTGAAATAGTCTTTTTGAATTAAATAGTCATCGAAATTCTGTTTCTTTTTATATGCAAATGCCTCTTCGTTTATTCCAATGTACTTAGCGTGAATTGGCTCAGTCATTTACTTCAAAAGGAAGTGCCCAAATAAGTCAATCATTTGCATTACTATTGCGATCTTGACAATTTTTCTAAGTTCACCTGGACTAAAAGTAGATTCAAATGCCCCTCTTCTATAAAGAGTAAATAATGCAAGGGGCACGTAGGCTCTGCTGGCATAGAACATACCCTATTCTGCCTTAAGTCCATTCTAGATCTTGGCTATTTCATTTTCCTCAATGCCTCTGCAAAGTAGGGCTTTTGTATCTGTTGTGTACTATTGTCTTCTTGTTTTAACATAAGTAAACATCTCTTCCCTTATTCTCAGAATCCTTTCAGCCCAGAACACCTTCTTCTTCGGCTACTCTACCCCACTCTTAGTTTCTGTCATGTTTGATTCAAGTTATAGATTATATTTTAGAATAATTAAGCTAATCACATAATTATTATGACCGGTGGGGTTTTGGGGTTTTGGGGTTTTGGGG